CGTACGTACGTACGTACGTACGTACGCACGCACGCACGCACTCACACACACACACACACACACACACACATACATACATACATACATACATACATACATACATACATACATACATACATACATACATACATACATACATACAGTGCTATATCTGAATATCAGGCCAGAATCATAAATGATGAAAACAAGGTATCAGTTACTTCCATTTTGTGTTCCTAGCTCAACACACAGATTCAGGTACAAATCTCAGTACAGCCACGGACTCCACTGGGTCCACCTGACCAGACTGTTATCTCTCAGCCTCATTTTCTCCTTTATTACATCAAAATAGCAGTGGCCTAACTCACAAGGTAGCTGTGAGGTAGACACCCTAGTTCCATCCATGCTTCTTGGGATGTCCCATTAATTTGATAGTGGTAGCTTTATTTTTAGATCTGGAGGGACCTCAGTGTGCATCATGTCCCTCTGTCGCTGGAATGCAGCGGCAGTGTGGCTCCCTTTATGCTTAGGATGGATGCCTGAATGATCCAGGAAACTGCAGCCCTTCAGGTATCACTGAGCTACTATTTCCATCATCCTTCACCGTTGGCAAATCTATCGGGAATAACTACTTCATGAGAATTGGACAGAAGTGCTGGATAGCCTTGTGGTTTAGGTCTCCAGCTGCAGAGCCAGAAGGCTGGGAGTTCAATTCTGCACCGGGTCTCCCTGACAGAGGCTGGAGTTGAAGATCCATAGGGTCCCTTCCAGCTGTGCAGTTCCAAGGCGTCTAAGATTTAATCCAACCGTGTATGGAATTCCACTGTTTCTCCAACTTTTGTTGTAAGGGTGTTTCCAGACAGACAGCTCTTAGAGCTATCAATCAGAAGACCCTGGGAAGCTGTTTTGTCTTTTCCACCCTTAACATTTTCCCTGTGGTGAGAAAAAAGGGAAAAGGGGAAACTGAGAGGGTTATCAATGGAAGATAGCATCATATGGATCCCCTGAAAAATCCCCATCAATGAGGCAGGATAATTGCACAGTAATTTCCTCATCTAGAAGCATCCAAAGGTTAAAGTATTTTGCTATATTGTATATGTATTTTTAAAATATATATATTTGCTAATATACCTTCTGAATAACAGCACCATTGGTATCAAAGATAGGCAAATGGCACCATTTCCTGACCCAAAGTTCAAAGGGCGCGAGGGAATAAAGAATGGAGAACAAGTGCAGGTGATGAAAACATGGAGTGGATTTAAGTTTCATGTGCAATTAGGAATCCTGCACTTACCTTGAAAAGCACAGATTTGTCCCACTTACAGTGAGGAAGAAAGGAAAGAAAAGAAAGGGATCATAGTGGATGAAGAGATTCCAGATAACAGAAGCGAGAAGAAAAGTCCTTACACAAGCCTACCTATTATGATGATTATAAGAGATAAATGTATTATTAACAACATTTGAAAGAATACACAGTAAGGATGGACTTCTTAGAATCTCCATTACTCCTTCCCTTCCCCCTTTCTTCTGAGAGTAAGCTTTTACGCCTTATAGTTCTGGAGGCAAGTCATTCCCCTGATGATTGTTCCTTCAATTTTCTGTACCTTCCTTCTCCACCCCACAATCTAGGTTGCTGGACTAATGAAAACAAACCCAGCGATTCTCCAGCCTGTGAGCCTCAAGCCATTCCCGGCATGTCAGCCTGCACGTGCTGCTCTGATCTGTGTAATGCTAACATCAGCTATATGGTGTCTGGAAGGAGGCAGGGTAAGAGTTCTGTGGGATCAAGGGGTCAGTGATGAACTACAGCATGGAATGACCCAAATGGAGAGACTGAGAGTGTGAATGATGATGTGGAAAGAGGGAGGCCCTCCAGAACTTGCTGGTTTATAAAACCCACCCTCTTCATTGGCTATGGGGCTGGGGCTGATAGGCTCTGATGCTCAACAGCATCTAGAAGGCCACAGGCTCCCTCCCTATCCTCTTAGAAGAAGCTAGCAAACTCGTTCCCTCCAAATATTTTAGACTACAGTTTCTATCATCCCTGGCTATCTATCACACTTGCTGGAGTTTATGAGAGTCAGACCAGTGTTTCCCAACCTGGAGGCCATTACCCCCAAGAGGGTCACAAAAGGGTTTTCTAGGGAGTGGTGGGTTCCCTTAAATGTGTTGTAGCCTCTGTTAAATAATTTATTTCTTGACCTTTCAGAGAGTGGGATATTAAAGTTATTATGTATGTGTATGTATGAGAAAAAGGTCTGGTGGGGGAAAAGGAGACTCTTCTTTCTAAGAAGGGATGACTTTACCCCATTAAAAATGCCTTTTTATGCAAATGTGGTGGGGGCTTGCAGGTCACTTGGCTGTTATAAAAGGGGGTCGCCACTCAAAAAAAAGGCTGGGGACCACTGAGTTAGGAGAAGAAAAACTAAGGAAACAAAGGACCTTCTAAAGGTCCTGTAAATCCCATTTCCTTTTTTCTCCCCCATTCTTGGCTTGCAGTTGATTTCTGTCCAGGACCTCCAAACCTCATGGGAAGCTTTTGAACCTTTCTTCCCATACCCCACCAACAGGTGTGCGCCAGCCATTGTGCAGCAGGGGTGAGACAACGCATGTGGGGGCCGTCCAACCAGCCTGCAAAGACCTTGAGGTTGCAGGGAGGAAGCGCACCAAGTCTCTGAGTCAGCCTGATAACAGGACTTTGGAGGTGGAGTAGCTGCCGGGTTGCACGGAAAGCATCACAGCTGCCTCCCCAGCTTCCAAGATAGCTAAGAAATATTCTATCCCCCATTTGAAGCTCACACTGGGGGGTTGTGTGAAAAGGAAAACAGCACCTGTTCTGTTTCCTTGGTTTCCCAGCTATGGGTGTTCCCTGGCATCTATTGGAACGCATGTAAGAATAAAAATCTTAGTTCTACTGTTCATGGACCACTTCTCATACGTATGCTGTGATGTCTTCGCTACACATCGAAATTGTAAAATACATCAGCCGTAGAACTTTTCTCAAGCATGCTCCTGAGCAGCACCGAGGAGGTGCAGGAAGCAGCGAGCTCTCACGTTGTTTCACCCTAAAGGCCAGGCCTGGGAAGGGCTGTAATTCTGAAGGGGTTCTTTACCCAGAGTAGCAAGAAACGGGTCTACTTTTGGATGTCTGGAATTTCTGACCAAAGGACAGTCCAAGTTTAGACTGAGTGGACCTCTCCCTCTTCCCTTCCGTCCAGCCTTAATGTGTAACAATCACATAACAGGGTGTTTGCCTTAACAGGATTCTCTTTTCTCTTAAGCTCAGGCACAGCACTCAGAGGAAGGGAACTGTTCCAAGGAGAAGATGGGGAGGGGAGTTAAAGGCTTTCTTAGACACAAGGCAGTTTAAGGCCTTTTGAGTGGTTGATTGCTCAGATGCCAATGACCTGGCTTGCTCTCATCCTTTTTTTTTTAAATAGCAGCTTGACTCCTTGTTCCTGAGGGTATTGACCTCTGCAGGCTAGGCACCCAGGCCCCTAAAGCCACAACAGATACAGGCATATGTAAACCAAGCAGAATCTAGCGTAGCTCACACAACCAGCAGGAAGGCTGAAACAAAGACTGTGTTAATTTTAGCAGCTTTGTGACTGCAATACTTAGGTATATACTCACCTTCCTTTAAAGGGCTTAGATTGATCTACATCGTGGTTCTCCCCATTTTATCTTCCCAACAGTCCTGTAGAATAGGTTAGGCTGAAAGAGAGTAACTGACTCAAGGCCAGCCAGTGCATTTTTGTGGCTGAAAGTACTGTAAATTTTAACCCATCTCCCCAAGTTGTGCATTACTCTAGCTTTTCTGAGGGCAAACAGTTTGCTGACATGACATCTCTATAGGCCAATGAATGAGAAAAATAATTTATCATTTTTCCTTGGAGAAGTTAGACAAATATTATTATTAGCTTTGAGAAAAGAAGACTGAGGGGGATATGACAGGATTTTTCAAATACTTGAACAGTAGTCATACAGAGGAGGGGCAGGGTCTGTTCCTAATCATCCCAGAGTGCAGGATGCATATTAATTAATACGCTGAAGCTAGAGGAAGCCAGATTTAGGCTGAATATTAGGAAAAACCTCTTAACTGTTAGAGCTGTATGATAGTGGGACCAATTACATCAGAAGGTGATGAGCACTCGAACACTGGAGGCATTCAAGAGAAAATTGGACAACCATCTGTCATATTTGATCTGGATACCTGTGCTGAGCAGGGGGTTGGACTCAATGGCCTTATAGGCCCCTTCCAACTCAGTTATTCTATGATAATCCCACCCTCTTTCAGGAATACACAACCCAGCCCTTATGAAATAGATGATCTTAGAACTGCATTGCTGGAAGGGACCCTACTGATCTTCAAGTCCAGCCCTTGTCAGGGAGGCACAGTAAGGGAATGAAACTCCCAGCCACTGGCCCCACAGCCAGAGACCTCAACTATTGAGCTATCATAACAGTTAGATGATGTCAACAAATCAGGCATTAAAGCTGTGAAATTTATGAAGGTAACAGACCAGGCCAAATTTACCATTTATTCAGCATATACTGCCTTTTTGCAGTGCAGCAAGCAAACCATAATCCCTCTTACAATAGCAGAGGGAGGGAGAAATAAAAGGTGAATGTGAGCAAATCCAGTTCTACAGGCTTGCCCTTTATTTCAATGAAGAGTGAAAACAATAAGGATAAGCTGAGGACTCTGTACAAAAGGAGATCTTGAAACGAAGCACCCATTGATAGTTGTATTTGTCATCACAGTCAGCTGGATTCCTAGCCTTAGCAGCAGCAGCAGTATTTCTAAGAATTGTGTCCTGTGACTTCTCAGGATGAAGTTATCCAGAAATAAACAGCAGGCATTATCAGCTGGGGTCTCCTTTTTCCTTCCTTTTCTTGTTTATTATTACAGATCTTCCCAAGCCTGCTATAATGTTTCTTGCAATTTTACTGCAGGTGCAAAACCTGATTTATCTGAAAGATAGAAAGAGGACAGCAGCAGTGGAAAAAAAGAAGGTGGGGGGAGGTTCCTATTAACCTTGGCCATAGAGCCCTCCCTTCCCCCTTCCTCCTCTCCAGAAAACCATTGGTTTGGTTCTATGAAGCCACTTGTCCTGGGCTGATGCCAGTCACCCACCCCCACTGCGTCCTCCATCCTGACAGCTTTGTTAGCCCTCTGCTACCAAAATTACAAAGCAAGGAGGCCGTTTTACTATCACCGGACAAGAGATAGCAAAAACAGATGTCCCAGCATTGTTCCAGCCCCCTTTTGGCTCTAGATCAAAGTCAAGGAGAGAGAGAGAGAGAGCCTCCCACCCTGTCCCTGAACATCCCTGTTGTGAAATAGAATCATAGTACGATGGAGTACAGTGGAATACAAGTCAAAGCAGATCTGGCAGAGGGTTGTCCAATTTTCTCTTGAATGCCTCCAGCATTGGAGTGCTCACCACCTTTCCCCAACTTCATCAGGGGAACTTTAACTTTAATGGTTAAGATGATAGCTCCCATCATCCCTGGGTCATACTGGCTGAGGCTGACAGGAAGGGTAGTTCAGAACAACACTACGCTGGGCATGGGGAGGCTGCGGTGGCTTCAGATCCTAGTTCCTTCCTATGGTGACAGAATTTTTGGGGAAAAATAAAGTTTCATCCCATGGACTCTCTGTTGCGTCCTTTACAAGAGCTGTGCTCCCCACCCTGGTGTTTCAGTTCCTGCCATTCTCATGCACTTCCACCCACTATCTACCCACCACACCTGCACGGTAGTGCCACAGCACAGCATGGCCTTCCAACGTTGGAAAATGCATGGGAGGAGACAGGAATGTTGGCTCAGGGGCTCAGAAGAGGTGGGTGCCTGCAGAGGGAGGCATCCATTCCCCTGCTCTAATTTTAATTAAAACATCAGAGAGAAAAATCTGATGAGGATGAAGGAAGCTGATGCCAGGGATGGGCAGAGAGGTCTCGGAGACCATGCAGGGACTCATAAACACCTGGATGCATGGGGGAGTGGGCCGGTGGAGGGGTGCCCAAGGCTTGAGGCCAAGTGGCTTGGAAACAAGAAGAGCTCAACAGTTAATTTTTTTTAAACTCTCTCCTGCTTGAAAACCTGGAATTCACTGTAGCGAGTTCTCCCATGATGGTGTGGATTTGATGGCTGCCTCCTCTTATCTCTGCAGTTGAGTTGTTGCCGCACCCCGGCTGGACCACCTGGATTCTCGCAGCCTGCCTTGTTCTGCTGTTCCTGGGTTGCCTGGTGTTTCTAGGTATTGTGGCTTCAGGGGAAACTCTGATGTGAAACATTTAGAATAAGAGTTGCCTGTATCATGCCCCCAAGGCTTGCTGTTGGGGAAAAGGTGAGCAAAGGCGCATCTGTCGCCTTGGGACAAAGAGCAACCATAGTGGTGTCTCCTCTTGTTTGCCTTTAGTTGGAAAGCTCATGGGCACAGAGGTGGGGCCAGGAGCTGGTGCTGCTGGGTATCTACCAAAGTTGATACCTGGCAAATGGCCCATGGCTGATTGCCCCATCGTCATCAGTCTTGTTGTTCCTACACTCTTGCTGCCTCCTCACCTGTCCCCCTGCAAGCATGCAAACAGTGACCCAATTTACATGGCCATCTTCTTCTGGTCTACGATGGGTCCTGATGGAGATGGTTGTGACACTGGGGGGGGGGCAACAAAGAAGGGAGGAGAGCTTAGAATGCTTGCTAGGGTTGCCAGGTCGCAAGGTACCGCTGGCTGCAGTCTTGAGGGATTCACAGGCTTCTCCATGTCTCCTGGCAGGGAGAACAATCTCAGGTCAAGCAGCAAAGGAAGACGTAACCTTGATTTTTGTGTGTGGGCGAGGCGGCTCTCTTCGTTCACCTCTTGCTCGCTCCAGGGCTCATGTGATTTTGTACTAAGACATGGATGTGGCTGTTGCTCCAAAGGGCAGAGGGCTCCAAGGTGCATGTTTCCCACCAACTCTTCCCTCCATCCTGGCCTTTTGTCATGCTGATGTTGAGCTTGGGACGCAGAAGCCTTCTTGTTGGCAATAGCTTGCAAAATCCGAAAACATGCCCTGGCCCAACATTTGCCTGCCTGCCTCTGTGACATCACAAAGCTCCTTCCTCCGACTTCAGGTTTCGGCCCTGGAATCTCAGGAAACGAATACAGCTGACCTGGCAACCCTGGATGCAGAAGCTGGATCGCTTTGGAATATGTGTTGCTTCAAGGGCAAATACCTTTTTCTCTTGTAGCAGTTCTGAAGCGCTGGAAAATCCCCGCAGCACAACTCAGCTCTGAAGCCACATTGGAGCTCACCAAGGTCATCTCAGGCCCAGAGCAAAAAGGCAGGAGGGAACTGCCCAAGCACGAACTTCCAGACCTCCAGTTCCTCCAGGTATCCCTCTGGTTAAGGGAAGATTTGTGGATTTGCTTAAAGAATCACCATAGATTGTTTTATTCTTCATAACAAAGCATGAAATGTTATTGTGGTTTAAAAATCGTTTAGCTATGCAGCCAAAAAAAAAATTTAGGAACCTACAGAGCAGAAATAGTTTCACATCTCCCCACAGTATACCATCCATTGTTTTGTTTTCATCAACTAGCACTTACTAGTGGTCTTGCTACTGATCCAGTTGTCTTTGAGTGTCAATAACACAGTCAAAGACATTGGTAAAGGAAAGAATAAAAAGATCAATTTACTCACAGTTATGAGTAGATACAAAGAGCATACTGTAGAAAAATAATGACTGGTTACATCAACAGAGCTTACCTGATTAACTAGCTTCATTACTACATGACTATATAGCTAAATATTGACTGCATGGTGACTAACTGCCCAGTGATTGAAAAAAGAGTAGGAAAATAATTAGTAAGTCTAGAGGTGTGGCTCTCCTCAAAACTGAAGCAGAGGGAAAATAATTGATTACTGCTGGATTTATGGACAGTTATCCCAGCCCAGAAGGTCCCTTCAAGCCAGAAAGCTCTTAATGGCAACATACAAGGGTTGCAATAATTCCAACAATCCTTTCTCTCAAATATGTGAAAACTCTAGTCAGAAGCTGTGTTGGTCATGTGCAAATTTCCTTCCTTCTGTTGACAAGAAAACAGCTTTCCAAAGGGAAAAATGAGAGCCAGTTTTCTTGGGACGTTTGTACCTACAAGTGCAGGCATCTGGTTCTAAACAGCCAGTCTAATGCCAACCCCTTCCATTCCCTGCTAGTACTGTAGGTCAACATGAAGGCATGATTGTTGTGTTTGCACAACATCAGAATAGTAAGAAACAAGGAGAAGACACTGGGTAGAGAGATGGTGGGCACATTCCCTAGGCCGTATGGTGCCATTTGGAGTGAAACAAAGACTGGAACATCAGTGCCATGCCTTGGGAGCATTTCTTATTATACAGAAGCAGTTTGACTCCCCTGCTCTGCCCCACAGGCATTTTTATAAAGATCTGAACCCTGTTGTTCAATTTTGGCCGCAAAATCTCAGAACAGAATGCTATTGATCCAGTTGTCTTACGGTGATGGTAAGGCACAAGGAAGCGTGCTGTTCGTTAACAAGGAAATCCTTTTAAAAAAGCAAAGGAGCTAAAAAGATCACTAATTGGTTATAGTTGACTTCCACAAGAAGAAGCCAGAAATGACCCCAAAACAAGAAGGCTAAGAGTACCTGACTTACTTACTGTATTAGGAGTCAAACATCAGGGGTTTGTGACCAGAAACAGACCATAGCTAGCCAGGGTGTTTGGCCTAGGTCTAGCATTGTATTTTATGTGTGTCAACTATGAATCCACAAATAAAATTAAACATTTTTGTGTGGTGGCATGAAACCTAGAGTTGGTGGCTCAGAACAACTCATGACTAGTACTGATGTTTGGCATAATTTTGGAGCAGATATAAGACTGGGTGAGTGTTTAGTTTAGCAATAATAATAATAATCATGTGCTGTCAAGTAAATTCTGAAAGGGCGACCACTTTCAGGGCTTTCCAGGTAGAGAGTACTCAGAGGTGGTTCACCATTCTCTTCTTCTGGGGGCACCCTGGGACTGTACAGCTTGCCCAAGCTGGCTCTACTCACAGGAGGCCCAGTGGGGAATCCATCTCCCAACCTCTGGCTCCACAGCCAGATACCCAAACCACTGAGCTACCCAGCCAGCACATGGTTTAAAACAAGTATAATTATAATTACATGGCGCCAAGTTGATTCCAACCTACCACGACCCTTTCCAGGGTTCTCCTAGCACAAAGTCCCCCTAAGCCCTTCTTCTAGAGGACAATTTGGGAGCATGTGACTTGGCCAAGACAACATATGGTCACTGTTTTCACAGCGGAAAATTGAATGCACACTCTTTGCTCTGACTCCCTGAGCCATCCAGTCATCTTTATACAAGGACTGATGTTAATATCTGATACAGTAGTCTGTTAACATGCAGAAAGCTGAGGAAGACTATTAAAATCCTTGACCAGTCGCATTATTATTTGCATAAGAGCTCTCTTAAAGCAGTCCTTCTTGGGGTGGGACAGAACACAAAAGATTCATTGGCATTACAAAAATTTCCAGAGGGAGAGCTGTGTTTATCTATTGCATCAAAAACCAACAGAGTTTCAAGTGGCACCTGAAGGAAGAACAGGTTCTATTTGACAAAAAATTTTGGGTCTCTCTGCTCAGGTCTTACTCCATATACCCAAAGATTTTCATTGTAATTCCTTCTCTATTTTATCTCCTGCTTCAAGAACATTAGCAGCAATTCCAGCCCTATTGCTAGGCATTTGAAGGTGACCCTTTGTGGCAAAAGATTTCAGATATCATGAAAGGGAAATAAGAAGGGGCAGCAAACACCCCCCATGTTTGTCATTAGTGTGTCATTGAGAGAAGAGAGCAGTGTTTGTGGAACTTTCTGTCTCAGGTTTCAATATAACTTGGTTGTCTATAAGTGTTTGTGCTGTCAAGTTACAACTGACTTATAGCAATCCTAACAGGGCTTTTGACGTTAGTGAGCTATTTGATTAATTAAAATACTTTTACCCCACCTTCTCTTTAAAAGCATCATTACAAGGCAATATTGAAGCTGAAAACAGTAATCATGCAAGTAATATAAAGGCTCAAACAAATACCACACTGAAATGCAGTAAACAAGAACAGTTGGACAACCCTCTGTCAGAACTGCTTTGATTTGGATTCCTGCCTTGAGTAGGAGATTGGATTCGATGGCCTTATAGGCCCCCTTCCAACTCCATGGTTTTATGATTTTATGGCTCGTTCAATGATTCTGATCTAGAGACACTCCTTAAAGTTTTATTTCTCTCTAGATTTCTGGGACATTATCAGTCTTGGGACACGACACATATTTTCCAACTCAACACTCTTTTCACACTCTTGAGGCATTGAAGCTGCCCCAGTTTGTAACATGAATGTTACCTGAGGCTGTTTAAGAAGGGGTCTCACATTAACAGCAGTGTGTGCTTGGAAAATAATGACATCTGGCAAACAGGTTTCATCCAGGAAGTTTGGATGTTTGTTCTTACCTATACATTATATACGTATATATATTTTTCCCCCAACAGATTCTCCATCATGGGCAGTTCTCCAAGCTCTGGCAAGGAACATTCAAGCAACAGCCTGTGGCCATCAAAGCTTTTTCCCCTCTGGGCCATTGGCAATTTGAATCGGAGTGGGCTGTGCACAGCCTCCCGTTGATGAACCATGACAATGTGATACAGCTGGTGGCTGCTAGATGCGGAGGACCCAGCATGGAACAAGGTGGTCTCCTGGTGCTGACGCTGTACCCATTGGTGAGCTCTGTGCACAGCAGTAGTAGCTGAGATGATTCGGGTTGTGTACAAATGGTCCCTTGTGCATACACCAGGCAAACATTTGCCTGTATCTATGTGTTGTATATCTTTTTACAAACACAAGCACAACATGGCCTGGGATATTGTCCAGTTGTGGCCGCGAACTGGTGTCCCTTGTTGCAGAGGCTCATTAACTAGTAATTTGCTGCTGCAATTTATGCCACTGTATTTAAACCAGTGTTTCACTAACCAGTAAGTTTCTGTCTTATCTATATTTTTACATCCCCTCAGTTTTTCCACGTAAGCTACAAAAATTTTGAGTCTGCATAAGAAAGTGTAACCCTGTTGGCTTCTTAATTTGGTATTTTTTCTAAAAACAATGGGTAAGTTTCTAGATCTTATGACTATTGAAAAATAGGTGGAAGCATGCAGATACTGCCTATGTAATTTCAGAGGCAGGAGAGAGGATGAACTGGGATATGTCTGTGCTAAGGTGGGTGGGGGTATTCACATGTGCCAGTCCATTGAATGATGCATGGTGAGGGCACACAACAGTGCTAGTTTACCTGTGGCCTACTCTGAGTTGAATAGCATTGCTTTTGCAGGGGTCATTGCGAAATTTCCTCAGCCAGCACGTTTGTTCCTGGGACATCACTCTCCGGCTGGGATCATCCCTTGCCAGGGGCCTTGCTTTTTTACATGAGGAGCAGTGGAAGGAAGGTAAGAGACAACAGGTGCTGAGCATGTCCTTTGCTGCCCTGGAACTTTATTTATTCAGTCGTTTGTTTGTTTATTCAATGTTTATGCCACTCTGCTAGTGGTATGCTACTACTCTGGGAGGTTTACAAATGAGATACATAAAATGTAGAAGCCTCAACACACATACCCCAGTCCATAGGTAATCTAAAAAGAACCCCAAAGAAAGCCCCCATGGTGATGATGCTTACAACACAAAATCAAAATACATTAGGGTCCCTATATCCATGGGAGATCAATTCCAAGCTCCTCCCTCAGATGCCAAAAAACATGGATAATAATGAATGTTGTACATACTGTAGCATGGTCTGTGGAGATATACATACCCACCCCCACACTCACACACGTATGCACACAAATAGTATGCAGTACCTGATGGTCTGTGGAGATATACATACCCACCCCTACACTCACACATGTATGCACACAAATAGTATGCAGTACCTTCATGGTGAAATCAACTCCTGGTTAGCAGGCAGAGTAATTTTATTGCTGCTATTGTCAAAGAATTTTAAATCGTTCATGATCTACAATGAATCACCGAAAGACAGACCATGTCACTTTGACCTCCTTTGTGCCTAGCCCTGCACTACACAGAGCCCAAACTATTTCCCAGGTTGAGGGGAGCAAACATATTACAGTACTGTAATCTGTTGCAGCACATATGACAGAATTAAGTTTTAGCTTAAAGTCTGATACAGTTTATACTGCCGTAAGCTTTGAACACAGTTCATCCAATGGTTGAAGTCTTGTGGGACCTTAAAGGCAAACACATCTTATGACAGCATAAAATCTTATGGATTATCATGGTTTGTCAGATGCAAAAAATATTACATCAGTTGGCAGATTATTGTGCCTGTCCCTGTATGGCTGAGGGGTTGCTAATGATGGGAATAAAGGAAACCAGAAGGCAAAGAGGGATGATTACCTCAATAGAAGCTATTAAGAAATAGTTGTTAGTGGTAATACAGACATTCATTGAAGAGCTGATTAATATATGGAGTATGACAGCAAGCCTTTTGGGGGGGCATTCAAGCTACAGGGGTAGATGTGAACCTCTCAATGGATTCTTGTTCAAACCACTGCATTTCCTGTGGCTTGAATGGGAACAGAAGCTTTTTCTCTTACTGTGTCAGTCAGATACAGTACTTGACATGCGGGAATGAGTGTGCTACCTAAATGCTCATTGTTAATGGCCACCACTAAGGTAATTCACCCTATTGGCGCTTTTTGCATTTCAGTCCCCTTTCACCCCACTGATTAGAACCCTCCAGCTACACCTACTCCCCTGCATGTGCCTCATAATCCACTTGTCAGGTATGATATGCCAGTGTGGTAGGAGGGGAGGGCTAAGGAGAACTGGGTTCAAATCCCTACTTTGCCATGGAAATTCACGCAAGGGTGGCAATCCTCAACTAAGCTTTGAATATCTCATATAGATCAAAAGCTCTGTTAGATACACCACACAAGGGGAGCAACTTGATGGCCCATCTCAACAAGGACAATAGAAGTTAGATTACAGCAACATCTGGAGGGCTGCAAGTTCTTTTCTCCTTGTTTGCTCCTGCTGGCAGCTTTGGGCCAAAATAAGACTTTCTTTCTTTCTTTCTTTCTTTCTTTCTTTCTTTCTTTCTTTCTTTCTTTCTTTCTTTCTTTCTTTCTTTCTTTCTTTCTTTCTTTCTTTCTTTCTTTCTTTCTTTCTTTCTTGCCTTTCTCCTTCAAAAGGACCCAAGGTGGCTGATCCTTTCCCCTTTGCTTGCTCAAATCTGTGGCCTTGGACCTTTTGCACACAAAGCATGGGTTCTGTCCCTGAGCGACATGCCCCCTTCTTCCTTTTCCTCTGCCTCCCTAGCGCTCATCGTATTGATAAGATTATGTGGGAGCTTAAGCGGCTGATCTCTAATGAGCTCTGCTGCTAGTGCTCTTCTTGTTCTTTCTTCTAGGTCTGCATAAGCCTGGCGTGGCCCACCAAGACCTGAGCAGCCAGAATGTGCTTGTACGGGAAGACTGGACCTCTGTTATCAGTGACTTTGGCCTTGCTGTGACTTTGCCTGAGAGTCTGAAGCAGTGGAGGGAGGATCCTGCAGAACACATTGTTCGCACGGTATCTATGGGGTGCAGAAGAACAAGGGACACCTAGAGGAGGAGGAGGAGCACCAAGGTCATCGTGGCCTAAACAGAGATGTGAGAGAGATTCCAAATGGGCAAAGTGCAGCCCATCAGATATTCCTGGATTGCAGCTTCCTAGCCAGTATAGTTAGTGGTGAGAAATGCTGGGAGCTGCCCTTCAGCAACATCTGGAAGGTCACACCCCAGTTTATTTAGAATAATTTATGGACTGCCTTTAAACAATGCATGGTTAGTGTATAGCAATAAAACAAAACATACACTCAAAATAGTAAAGAACATAGTATCTGGGAGTTGTAATTGAAAAGAATAACTTTCCCCACCTCTGTTCTGACTGTTGATAGAGCTGGCTCTGCCTGCTTCCAGGAAAACACACCTAGGATTTTAAAAAAAAATACCAACAAATTGGCCCAAACCAATTGATTCAAGTTACAGGAAAGAAGATGCTAACTAAAACTTAGGGGGGGGGGAATCCTGACCCAAACCAATGAATTCAAATGATATGAGAGGAGATTCAGACTAAACATTAGGAAGAACTTCTTCCTGGCAAGCACTGTTTAATCCTGGAATGGATTCGGGTTGGAAGAGTGAGGACTCTCCTTTGCTGAATGTTTTTGAGACAGAGATGCTTTAGGTGTGGATTTCTTCTGTGGGCAGGGGGTTGGACTGGTTGACCCTTGGGTCTCTTTCAACTCTGTCATTCTATGATTCTGTGAAATTGTAAAAACTCTTCCGATGCAGGGTCAAGGGTCAAAGACTTTGAACACAGACCAGTCTTTGCTGTTCTAGTAGCTATGATTTCACAATGAGCAGTTCCCTTTGAAATGATGTATTGGGCTTTTGTTATCAGGAGCCAAAGAGGCAGCTCGTATTTGGAAAAGTTTCTCTTTTAACAATGGCTCCCACAATTCCAAAGAGAGCCAAAGAGGATGCTGTAAGCTGCAGCCCAGGAAGGAAACAGGTGTAAGCTGTAACCCTATAAGAGCTTCTCGATACTGCACTGACCCTCTGAATTTAGGTTGGCCCAGGACAAAGCAAGTGTATTTTGTAAACACAACACTCGTTCTTCACTCATGTTTTCTCTAGGCTGAGCCCCCACACTACGTAGCTCCTGAAATTCTGGATGGGAACCTGAACCTCAAAGACTTGGGTACGGCATTGAGGCAGGCAGATGTCTACTCTTTGGCGCTGGTGCTGTGGGAAATGTTCATGCGATGTTCAGCACTCTTCCCAGGTAAGCAAGGAAAGAAGAAGGAGCCATCGTAATCCCTACAGTTCATCCACACATACCCAGAATCTGCGTCCCGCTCCTCCCAGTCTATGCTTTCCCTTGACAAGAGTAGGGCTGGCCAAGCATGATATAGGCAATTTTCAGGAATGAGGATGTGAGTCACAGGACTTGCTGTCAAATCAGACTTAAGTCACACTGGTGACTTAACTAGGGTTTCCCCCGTCCTCCATTACTTGGCCTTGACTTGTGACTTGGAATTTACTCCTCCCTTTCTTCTAGGGGGAAAATAGCTTGTTTTAAAAAGGGACTCAGGCTTGATACTTGGTACCAAAGACTTGGACTTGGGGCTCAGATCTAAAGACTTGCCAACATCCCTGGTAATTTTATTATTTCTTCTGTAGAGCTCATGCAGCTTATGTAGAGGAATAGAACCAGAAGACACTACGGAGAGGAATGATTCCCCCATCCCTGCTGCTTATATTAAATGTTTTATTTTTAAATTTGGGAGATCTAATCACATCGCTCCCATGTCTTCAGTGGTTTTACTCTAATTTATTGATTCAGCATCACAGATCAAAGCAACATTAAACAAAAGTTACAAACAGACTCCACATGAAAAAGTTTCATGTTCACTATCTCTTATCATTAAGACCTTCATTTTATGATGTAATGTCTGGAATCCAGATGCAGATCTGGCGCAGTAACTCAGAGATTAATTATGCTCTTTTTTATGCTTTAGGTCCAGGATGGGAGAACTCTTGCCCCCCCCCCATCCACAGGTATTCCTTTGAGAGAAAGCTGGGTTGCTTGTCCACACTAGCGGAGGATAAGGCCAGAGTCAAAGGCTGGGGTGGCAAAAGCCAGACCTGGGACAGTGGAAAAGCTATTTATATACAGACACATAGAAATCAATCTCTCTCTCCACCACCCCTCTTTCTCTCTCTCTCACACACACAAACAGTCTTCAGCACTGATCAGCTGTTTCCCCAACAAGCACCACAGGAGGAACTGAAGAGGGAAGAAGGACTTAAATTGCCTCTTCCCCATTCATTTTGTCCTCAGGCCACACTGTGCTCTTCAGCTCAGGAGGGAGGAAAATAAGGTTCCAGAGGGACAGGGACTCTGGCCTTCTACCTCTTGCTCCACAGCTGTTTCCCCCTGTTAGCTGAGCAACCTGGGATAAGAGGTGATGAGATGGGGGGGCTACCCTTCTCCCCCCTTGCAGTTTCAAACTCATCTGTGCTGCTCATCAGATTAGCAGGAAAAGGAGCTCCTCTCCCACTAATTGTCTTCTCTGCCCCTTGTCTGCCATGCTGCTCCTCAGGTGAGCCCTTTGCCATGTTTGTGAGGGACAAGCAAGGCTGCAGAGAGGACAGACCCCGGCTGGAGGGGCCCATATATCCAATGTAGGCTGGGGGGGTTCAGTACCTTCATTTAAAAAAAAGTGGATCAAGGTGGCCTCTCCAGATGTTGGAAGCCTTTTACCCATCTTAGCATAGCTAATATTACAGGTTTGGGGAGGTGGAGGCTAAAAACATATGAAAAGCCATGGTTTTCAATCCCTGTTTTAGGGCATTGCCACTAGTATCTCAGTATACAGTGACCAAAGAGTTTCCTCTTCATGAAGGAAAAATGGCAGGGATATTATCCCAATAAAAATGGCCATTATCCTGCAAAATCTGTATTTTTTAATGTATTATTCACTAGTTTCATTTGCCCTGCCTTTCTTCCGGTGAATTGGAGTGTACAAGGTGCTCCTCCCCACACTTTATCCTCACAGCAAGCCTGTAGGGCGGGTCAATCTGAGAGACAGAGAGTGGCCAAAGGGACACACAGTAAGTTTCATGAGCCAGTAGGTATTTGAACCCGGGTCTTCTGAGTGATTGTCCAATATTGTAACCATTACACCACACTGACTCTCATAAAGAAAACTGTTGGACTGCTGAAGGTTATTTGTAGGACCAGGGTTCTTGCAAAGTTTATGGAACCCTGTATTCTCAAAGGCTTTCACACACACATAATCTTCAGGACTGATCAGCTGTTTCCCAGTATGGGGAACCCTTTATGGAACCCTGCTTAGAGATATTTAGCAAATAAATACAAGCCACCACATATCCACCCTACTGTTGTTACATATTTGAAATATATCCTTCAGATTACCTCTCCCCCCCAATACAGTCTTATGATAAATATTTTATTTACATGCTAGAAAATGTTACTCCCGCCTCACCCTTGCCCTTTATAAGCAAACAAGCAAGCGAAGAACAACATGCCTCACCGCTTCTTGACCTCTGTGCTTTATATATATGCTTATTTGTTCTAGGGTGGTCATTTAAAAAACAAAAACAAAAGTTGTGTGGAAGAGTTGATTAATTGATTGCCTTCTCTCCTTCATCTGCAAGATGGCAGCAAAGGGTAAAGATGTTTTCTCTCTCCCTTATTTGTCCTTACCCTGCATGGGTAGATGTTGGGAATTCTACAGCATGATTTTGTAGCCCGTACCTACAAATAGGTTACCAAACATTAGATTCCCAATGTGGTGTAGGATAAAGCGATGGATTAGAGCTCTGGAGAACCGGGTTCAAATCCCTTGGCTGTGGAAACCCACTGGGGGGTAGAAATGGTAAAACCACTCCTTTTAAGTCAGTTCTGACTTGACAGAATGCACACAACAACAACAACAAACACATTTATGGGGGATTGTCTGAGAAACATTTTTAGTGGACGTCTATCACCTCAAAAGGGAAGAAGTAAGCTGATTTTTCTTTGTCAACAATAACAAAAACAGCAAAACTACCAATAAATGGCCCCAAATGGTCCAAAAAAACTGTATCCTACCTATCTGCAAATGCAATATGTCAGGATTAGAGATGGGGGTATTCGTATATGAATACTCCCATCTCTAGTCAGGATGCACAAAGGGTGGCAGTAAAAGCATCTTCTCACCTGCCCCATGTGCACGTTACATGTAAAAGGAATGGCTATTCTTGGAAGAATGGCTATTCTTCCAAGCCCACCCTTAGGACAAAGTGTGCCCTCTTGAACACCCCCTCCTGCCTTCTGCTTCAAAGCTGGGATCCAGGGGTGGCGTTCCTGCTGCTTCTCCATTCTCTCGCAGCCCCTTGTGGCCCCACAGGAAACCCTATTCCTGGCCTCAGAGACCCAGCGGGGTAGGCTTGTGGTTCTACAGAGGTCTGAAGTGGGAAGATCAGGAGAAGAAGCCACACAAAGGGTAGCATTGGACCATTATATGTGTGTTGTTGTGTATTTTCAGTGCGTAAAGTACTTGGTATAGTTGTCTCAAAGTAAAATACCTGCTAGCTCGGTTTTATCTTTAAAATGGCATCAAACTAGAATTTGAAGAAAAATGAAACATACTTTAAAGATATGGAATGGAAGTTCCTCTGGGCAGGAGGCTCACTTTTGCAGTTAATGCAAAAATAACCTGTAGAATTCCAAGATGTGGGGACTTCAATAGACTCATTGTTTGTTGCCATAGATCACTGTAGTGCAATCCACAAACAGGAATATCAGCTTTATTCCAGTACTGCCACCTTTATAATCACCTTTATCCCAGTGCCAGTGTGGCCTGACTCTCTTGTACATATGATTTATCATCATAATTTAATTTAATGGTGCTGATACAAGACACACACATGCACGCACACACACACCTGCTGTTGTGGCACACTGTGGCCTGGATGGTGTCATTGTTTGCTCCAGAGGTAAGCGGCAGGGGTGGAGGTAGTGGCTTGGAAATGCTCCCACCTTGCTGCAGAAGGCCAGGTGCCCACCTCTAGGGTTCCTCTACCGCCCTCTTCTCTTCCCTGCCGCCACCCACTGCATACAAATAGGAGCGTGGTTGAAGTCGTGGTTTTCAGAGCATTAGCCGTGTTAATCTATTCCAGCAACAGCAAAAACCAAAGTACTGCAACCCACCACGAAGACTAGCTGCTCTCTCTCCGTGTTCATTTCTGTAGATCGCTGGCTGTCTTCAGGCTCTGTGTTTTGAAAGCGAAATGGTTTCGTTTTGTTTCTGTTTCTCCTGAAGTGGTGGCGATGGTCTGGGTTCTGCTACCACCTGCCGGCAGTCCCAGGGCATGGTGAAAAAATGCATGTTTCTTGCTTATATATTCAGCCTGGAGGCAAAATATTATCTCAGTATTGATGCAGTTCACAGGAGTGCTTCCCCCACCTCCTCTATGCTGTTTTCTTAACACCCCCCCACACACATCTCTCATTTCTCAGACTTCTTTCTCCTCCAAGTAACTCCCGACTCCCTGCTTTGCCTTGAGACTTGCCATTTTTAACAGCCATGTGTGAGTCACTGCTTTGCGGAGTGATAACTGGTGTTTGAGGACAACAACTGGCTTCACATCTGGCATCCTGACGCAGCTGATGTGGCCCCACGGCCTTGACACCTGTTCTGAGACCTGCTCTGCCAGGGATCTCATGAGCAGTGGGCAGATTGGAAAGAGCTGTTTAAATGCCCCACAATGACATCGGCAAATATTAGGTTGAGCATATTGAAATAGTGGAGGTGCTGCCAAGGGAAAATGGGACATGGCAGCTTTCAGACAGTGGATATATGGGGCAAAAGGACAGACATATAGACACGCACACACACACTTTTTAATCTCTTCTGTTTTTGCCTTCCTAGAGGGCGCCACCCCTGAGTTCCAGCAGGCCTATGAAGCAGAACTGGGCAGCAGCCCTACACACAATGAATTGTGGAGCCTAGCTGTTGAGAAAAGGCAGAGGCCCGCTATTCCTACAGCTTGGAAAAGTTTTGGGCAGGTGAACCCTATGCTCGCTTATCTCAACATTACTTCTGTTTTGAGAAATATGTATAGGATTGTAATGTTACTTCACCATCTCTAGGATCTTTTGCCATCAGGAAGGACCTTGTTGGCAGCTCATAATTCACAATATTTTAAAATTTACTTGGCGTTAATCCAACCTGAGGAGAAGGGGACAACAGAGGACGAGATGGCTGGACAGTGTCATTGAAGCGACCAGCATAAATTTGACCCAGCTCCGGGAGGCAGTGGAAGATAGGAGGGCCTGGTGTGCTCTGGTCCATAGGGTCATGCAGAGTCGGAAACGACTAAACGACTAAACGAACGAATCCAACCAGCTCATTAATGAATGAGTTGGTTGGAGAGCTCAGTGGTTTAGGTAAAGCCAGAGGTCAGGGGTTCAATTCCCCACTGTGGGTCCTGGGAGAAGAGCTAGACTATGTGGCCTTGGCCAAACTACACAGGCCCAGGGCAACCCACAGAAGAAGGGAAGAGCAAACCACTTCTGAGTATTCTGCACCTGGAAAGCTCTGAAAAGGGTCACCATAGCTCTGAATTGACTTGATGACACATTATTATTATTATTATTATTATTA